CCCGCTGGAGGTTTTTATGTAATTATGATTGTAATTAATTACATTAAAACTTTTCCGAATGAAATCTTTGCATTGCTGGAATAACTCTGCATGCAATGATTCTAATAACATGCCTTTGGATGCTATTTACTAATAACATATCTAGGATATTTACTTCATATCAGGATTTGCACTTCCTTTACCCTTTGCATAGAAGGATCTGCAATCCTCCTGTCTGACTTCTTCTTGTCAGTCAAGTGTCAGCATGAGTGTACCTTTTTCCACTGGGCCTTCCCTTTTCAAGCAATCTAAAAATATCATCCCTTCAGTCTTCCTAACATCACCCTTTTTACATTTGTTTCAGAACTCTCACAACTACAATCATCCTACCAATATGCTTGCTAATGTGTCTGCTTCTGTACCTTTCCATTCTCCTTCCCAAACCTATGCGAATGCAGAATGTTCCCACAGGGCCCTCTTTGTTCGTTATGGAAAAGGGCACAAAGTTCCTTTGTCCTGGAAGCTTATACAAAATCAGAGGATTTGTGATTAGAGGATTACTGACTTTTACCATTTCTTTTAACTTGGGGTTTGGGGAAGATGTACATCAGTGTATGTCACCAAACCGCCTGGGTCACAATTCCTTTAAGTTTATTTTTAAAATTTATTAAATATGTGTATTTTAAGTTAAAACAGCAATAAACAGTATGATCTCATTTTTCATAAAATAAAATATAACTATGTTCAGATATTTTATTCATATTTATATGAGTGTGAAGATAGTACTGTAAAGTGGAGAGTGATTGTTTCAGGTTGTTATATCTTTTTCCCCAAAGGTTTAAGCATATGGGTAATTTTTGCTTCCTTTTTCACATTTTACTAAATTTATAAAATCATAAAAATTAGTCAGAAATTCACCAGGGATCCCATCAACCAAATAAATACATACTTACATAGAAAAATTAATTGCCCCCCAAATCTCTGCTTTCTTTCTTACTTAACTCTTAGAAATATAGATTTAGCTTTCTGTCAGTTATATGAAACTGAGCTTCCAGCTTTTACTAAACCTTTCCTCAGTTATATTGAGGCCTCTAAAACACAACTTCCTATCTGTCAATTTTGCTTTATATAAAGCAATTGTGTTTTATATAATTTTTTTGCCACATCATAAATTGGCAAGTACTGGAATCAAAGGTACCCCTTAATCACACATGCAACTGAGGAAATTGACATAACTTTTTGCCTTGGGGATCTTCAAACCCTCATGCCCAGATATCTGAGAAAGCACTGAAGCACTGTTCCAGTCTTCCAATGGCTTGTATATCAAAACAATGAATGTATAGCACAAGAGAGCTTAACCCTGCAAATTTTCTCTGAATAGGGCCATAAAGAAAGAGTACCCATAAAAGGAGGTCTATATAACTGAATTTCATGGGGAAACAGGAATATATTCTTTTTTATGAGAAATTCTTATGCCTTGGAGCCTGATTGTAAGGCACTGTATTTCATTTCAATTATTATTACTGGAAAAAAATAAAAGATGGATTACCTTCGGAACTAATGAAACTCAAATGGCTAGCTGATTGAGCTGATACCTTTGCCCCAGTTTTTGAAGTATTTGCAATGCAAATAACTGTTCAAGATTCCTTTGGCTACACTAACATTTATGTGTGTTGTGTCAAATAAAATAGCTATTTATGTGTTTAAGGGAGAGTATTTCTTGTTCTGTATGTGCACACCTGGGCTCACTTCCCTTGAGAAGATGCCTCAACAGCGCTAGTAAAACAAGACAATAACAGCGAAATAATAGAGATTTATAGTGATTGTCCTGAAGTCAACAGGGGATGGCTCACACAGTGAGTGTAACCATAACAAGTGTCAGTTTTTTCAAGCAGAAAACAAAAGCAGAGCTGTTTGATGCAATCTAAGTTTGAGCCAGAAAGCCACGCTGTATCTACAGGCTAGATTCATGGTATGCTATTGATCCTGAGATTAAAAAAAGAGGAAAAAGAATCATAAAATATTAAACTACAAACCCTACAACCCGAATTGCATGTAAAACTCTTATTTTTAATGAAAATATCATGATTTTTCATTGCTGATGATGCTTCCTGAAGGTCTAAACCAGTCCACAGATTTTTTTCTTTCCTCTCTGTCCCCCAGGCTGGAGTGCAGTAGTACGATCTCAGCTTACTGCAACCTCACCTCCTGGGTTCAAGGGATTCTCCTGCCTCAGCCTCCCAAGTAGCTGGGATTACAGGTGCTCCGCACCACGCCCAACTAATTTCCTTTTTTATTCTTATTTTTAGTAGAGATGCAGATGTGTTTTGTTTGACTCATAAAGTAATAAGGAAATCAGAACATTTCCACATTTAAAAGTCTAGACTTTCAGCTTCTTTGAATTGAGAGGATTTAGCAAATTCAAAATCATGCATGCATGGTAACCATCAGATGGGGCTGAGTAACAGCTGTCCATATTTCAGCTATTTCTTTTCTAGATGATCACATTCTCCACTACTCCCTATTGTCTTTCATCTCCTACTCCTTTACTAATTTATATACAGTCATTACTTGTCTGGCCCCTCTTTGCACTTAAGTCTGCATTCTCAGTACAAATAAGTCCTCTATTATTACTATAGAATCGGTTTTATCATCAAGGACTTTACATCTCAGGAAAAGCTCGGAGATAGATATTATGGTGTGAAGTAATTTGCAATGCAAATTACCTTAGACTTAGAGGTTTTGAAATGACTTATCCATGTATATTAAGACATGCCTTTGAAGGGAAACTAGAATAAAGATAAATTAGATTCACTCTTCATGTGAGGTAAATTTTCCAATCTTAGAATTTGGAAGAGAATGGTATCATGACATAATGAAATCGTCCAGAGCCCCATACTAACTCTGGGTTAGCTTTAGGCAGATTATTTTACTTATCTGGGTCTCAGATTCCTCATCCTTAAAGTAGCTGTGTCTGATGTAATGAGGGCCCCTTCCCACTCTTGATTTCTGTATGAATCCCAACTAAGGGGAAAGAAGTATCTCTTTCTTAACCCTTCCTGGCTCCAGAGAGCAAATGTAAAAGGAAAGAACATGTTTATGTCCATCTTCTAGTTGTTCAGTAGCCTTTCTAAAGGAAAAAATATATTTAATCAGTATTTTCCAGTAAAATCATTTCTCCTGTCTCTAAGTCATCTTGAATCCTCATCATCTAGCACTAGAAACCATGCTATAAGACATATTGAGGATCTGAAAGACTGTCCCAATGTCCAGATTCTGGGGATATCACCAATAAATTATAGATATGTCAACCATGACTTTCTAACACCTATCATGATGATTATTGCTTATTGACATTTTACTAGGGTTTCTGCCAAGCATATCACATGCATCTTCTTATTCAATTCCAGATACCATTTCACAAACACAGGAGCCATTCATGTCTATGCATCTCTATATGTTTCCTCTTAGATGTCATTGTCAATACCACATTATGGAACCGTATCACTGATGCTTAGAAATGGAAATACATAAATCTAGGATGCGACAAAAAGCTTTCCTACTGTATAGAACAACCATGAAATCTTAGTGACTGGTTATGAATTTTAAGAGTTTATAACTGTCCATTCCATCTCCATTTTATTTGTACACTGTAGTCACTTGTCTTTCTACCAATATATAATTCTTGTGTTCACACACACAAAAAAACCTTGTAAATATTGACTTAAATTTGTTTAAAAAACACTTTTTATCCTATTTCCAATTTGTTTCTCTTAATGCATATATTAATATTTAGTGGAGAATTCACTGCACAATTACTTTGGATATAAAAGAAACTAGTAACAAAGAAATTATTGCTTTGATTATCCTCAGGTCTCTTGAAGAAATCACTTAAAATTAACTGTGAAGCCTTACTCTCATCAGATACAGCAGAATCAGTAAGTCATTTCTGTAAAGGGCCAGATAGTACAATAAATATTTTGGACTTTCCATAGCACAATGTCTCTGTTGTAACTACTCAATTCTGTCATTATAGCATTGAAGCAGCCATAGATAATATGGAAATGAAAGAATAGAGCTGTGTGCCAATAAGACTTTATTTAGGGAAATTTCAATTTTATATGATTTCACATATCATTAAATACTATTCTTCTTTTGATTTTTTCCCAGCAATTTAAAAATTTGAAAACCATTTTAAACTCACTGGGTGTAAAATATGTCCATACAAGGGCTATATTGGCCTGCAAGCCATAGTTTGCCAACTTGGAAATACAGAATGAAGGTAAAACAGCTTAGCTTATAGAGTTGTGAATATATGCCTATTAACCTATGTAAACTGCTTTATGGAATATGTAATACAACAGGCCCACAATACATAGCTTTTATTTGTAATTTTTTTTTTTTTTTTTTTTTTGAGACGGAGTCTCCTTGTGTCGCCCAGGCTGGAGTGCAGTGGCGCGATCTCGGCTCACTGCAAGCTCCGCCTCCCGGGTTCCCGCCATTCTCCCTCCTCAGCCTCCGAGTAGCTGGGACTACAGGCGCCCGCCACCTCGCCCGGCTAGTTTTTTGTATTTTTAGTAGAGACGGGGTTTCACCATGTTAGCCAGGGATGGTCTCCATCTCCTGACCTCGTGATCCACCCGCCTCGGCCTCCCAAAGTGCCGGGATTACAGGCTCTTTGTAATTCTTAATATAGATAAGAATTTTTTTCTTTAGTTTAAGCTATACTCTTTTATAATTAAAAAAACTTAATGGTAGATAGCAAGTATTACATTAAGATAATTTCAATAGAATTAGAAAAATAAAATTTAAGATGCCTTATTACTGCTCATTTAATAAAGATTGTGCTAGCAAATGGTGTTTTATAGTTCTAGGCTAGACAATCTATTACCATAATTTTTATATTAGGTCTGTATGATTTGTTTTCTAAATATTTTGAATATTCATAATACAACTTAGTCATCACTGTGACGACCTTAAGTCATTACGAACTTAAGTCATTATGGGTCATCACAGTGAGGAGAGAGCCTCAGGGTCTCACAGATAGTTAAAATCTCAAGAGGGGTGTCATCATTCATGGTTATCCAAGTACCCGTTGAAAAGGAGGGTTACGGTAAGCCATGTGCCTTTACACTCTATCAATAACATCTATTACTCGACTCAGCAATTCTATTGAAGAATGTCTGTGAGGATTCTGTCCACCAGGGGGAGCTGAGATGCAGTGTTAATGTTCTCAACCTTTTACTAAGCATAATCAGCAACGATTGGTAGAAGCTTCTCTATGAAGAACCATTTCCATCAAAGGTAATTTTATAATAATTAAAATGAAGGAAATCCATTGTTCTTAGGCTCAAAAGAATACACCCAACTCTTGTTGTTGTCAAATTTGTAGATGACACAAAGCTGATGATGAAAAGAAATTTATTAGATGACACAATCAAGATGACAAAATAAACAGGCTGTCATTTTGAATTTGTATTAGGGTTCTCCAGAGAAATAGAACAAACAGGATGTGTGTGTGTGTGCGCGTTTGTGTATTATGTGTGTGTATATAGTTATACACACATACATTATATATGTGTATATATACACATAATACATTATATATACACATATATTATATATTATGTGTATATATACATGTGTATATACATAGACATACGTGTATACATATATACGTGTCTATATGTATATACATATACGTGTGTCTATATGTATATACATATATACGTGTGTCTATATGTATATACATATATACATATGTGTATATACATATGTATGTACATATGTGTATATATACATGCATGTGTGTAGGTATACACATTATATATACACATACATATATGTATATACATAATACATTATGTATAAACACATACATTACATATATATGTGTGTGTATATATATACACATAATACACGCACACACATCCTGTTATGTGTATGTGTGTATTATACACCTCCACACTCTCTCTCACTCTCTCATATATACGTATGAGAGAGAGAGAGAGAGAGAGACACTTATTTTAAGGAATTGGCTCACACAATTATAGAGGCTTGGTAAATTCAAAATCTGCAGGGTAGTCCGGCAGGCTGGAGACAAGAAAAAGTTGATGTTGCAGTTCAACTCTGAAGAACATCTGCCTGCAGAATTACTTCTTACTCAGGGGAAATCCGTCTGTTCTATTAAGGCCTTCAACTGATTAGATGAAGCCCATCCACTAATAGAGGGTACTCTATTTTACTCAAAGTGTAATGTTAAGTTTAAATGTTAATCTCATCTAAAAACATCCTCATTGAAATGTCCACAATGTTTAACCACATATCTGGGCACTGTGACCCAGTGAGTTGACACATAAAATTAGCCATCAAAGGCCTGAATATAGCAAGAAAAAAAATTTAAGAGATGCAACTTGTAAGGGAAGAAAAAGTTCCCCTGCTCTATTTAAACCTGGTCAACCCTTTCCTGGTGCCGTGTTCAATTCTTGACAAGATGTTCTAAGAAGGACCTAGAGACACTTGGATCATAATTACGTCAGCACAGAGCAAAGCAATTTTGATAATGAAGGGACTTAAAACCATAACATGGGTAAGATGGCTAAGGGGAAGAAGAATGTTTAATTTCTTAAAAAATTAGAGTTTTGGAAGGGATAGAATAACTATCTTCAAACAGTTGGGGAACTTTCATGCGGAGTTTTTCTGCTTAATCTAAATATCTAAAGACAAATGCTGAATCCAGTCCAGAGACTAGATGCTACGAGGAGATTGATTTCTTACCAACATTAACAAAAAGTATTTAACAAACAGTCATTAAAAGGTAGAATACAGCAGAGATAGATGGGAGTTGGAGTCTGCCTTGCTGCACATGTACAAACTTGGAATTGAAGACCACTTGGTGAAAATGTTCTAAAGGAGATTTGATTACCACATTGATGATTTGACCAAAATACTTTAAAAGAATCCCTCTAACTTTGACTTTCGTGTTTTTGTTTCTAACAAAATCTTGAGCTGGCTCATTGCCCATGCTGATGGTTTATGAATAATTTGTATTCCACAGAAAATATTCTAACCTAGGAATAGCATGTTTCTAGGCCCTAGGAAAGTTAATTATAAGACGTGATGAGCCTGAAAAAATGGGATACAGATGACAGAATTCTTCCTATATCAACATTTTCAATGAAAAAAGCACAATGAAATATAGCACAAAATTTTAATCTAGAATCTTCCTTTTCAAAATGTATCTTCCAAGTATTCTAATTAAAATGCTTTTCTTGGCCGGGTATCATGGCTCACTCCTGTCATCCTAGCACTTTGGGAGGCCAAGGCGGGTGGATCACCTGAGGTCAGGAGTTTGATACCAGTCTGGCCAACATGGCAAAACCCCGTCTCTACTAAAACACAAAAATTAGCCAGGCGTGGTGGCAGGCACCTGTAATCCCAACTACTTGGGAGGCTGAGGCAGGAGAATCGTTTGAACCCAGGGAGCAGAGGTCACAGTGAACCGAAATCATGCTGCTTCACTTCAGCCTGGGTGAAAGAGCGAGACTCTGTTTCAAATAAATAAATAAATAAATAGAATGTTTTTCTTCTACGATACCACCTGCCTCAAATTACTTTTAAATGACCTTTTTTTTTTTTTTTCTGAAAAGTATAGTATGCACTTGGCTAGTGGCAGCTGTTCTCAATAATGAGGAGAGGCTCTCCAGACTCTTTGCCAGGTTACAGTTTCCTGATTCGTGTGATTTTTGCCTCTGTGAGTTGTCTTTTCAAGGCATCTGTAAATATGCAGGGAAAGAGACACAAGATTCTAGAGGAAGACAATGAGTAATGTGTAGCCTATTTACAGTTCAGCCTACAGGAGGACTTTCAAGCAGTCAACTATTGTTGAAGTGCATAATATGGAGAATAAATGCAGAACTGGGGCCTTGGCACAGGGAAAAGCATATTGTGCCTGGGTGGAACAACATGCTGACATTCTGGAAACTTTTAAAATTACGATGAAAAAGTTAAAATTACTATTTAATTACTACTACAAAAGTTATAGTTACTAAAATTTAATTACTATTACTAAAAGTTAAAAATTACTGATTTAAAGGACTATTCCTCCATTTAGTAATTAAAGGGAAATGTTTGTAGTCAGTGCCTTGTAGAAAAAAGTTATGTCAAAATGCTGAATTTTAAACTGTGAGAAAGGGGTGGAAGAGGTAGATAATCCCTCTCTGCTGTCTATGACTCCAACATTTGGCTAAATTTGGAAGCCATTAAGTATAAAATCTCTGCCATAGCAAGTCTAGGATCTTTACTTTCTTTCCCATCTTTTTGAAACAGTATACTAGCAATTTTCAAAAGACAAAAATTGTCACTTAAGTGGCCTGATATCTGCAGCCTCTACCCTCCTAGACTGTGATGTCACAACTCTCAGTTCTTACCTAGAACATTGCAATATTTAATGTCTCAGTACATATGTCTGTCTTCCCTCACTAAACAGTAAATTCCTTCCAAGAAATAACTAGGTCCTACTGATCTTAGACTTGGCCTAACAAATCACTATGCATAGTAAGTGCCCAAACCTATGATTTAGAATGAATAAATCAATGTTTAAACTCATAAATATGAAACTATATAATCTTGGATGGCAGAGACCATCTTATCTTTTCACACATTATATCCACATACAGTGTCTTGAACTGTTGGGATTTTCCCTGCGCTACTATAAGGAAAACCTCCTGTACTGTGCCTGAAGGGAAAATAGCCCTACTGAGTTCTTTCCTTTCACGAATAATAAATAAAATTATTTTGAATCTCCGGCAACAGCAACAACAACAACAAAAGAAAAACATTTACGTCTGGATTGTGCAGAGAACTTTTTAGAAGAATGGAGGGAAGATTATTACATTAGGGAAAGGACTTTTTTTCTTATGATGTCTGGAATCCACACTCCAGCAGACAATATTTGCACCCTAGTTGAAACTCAGTGTTAAGCATATAGTGTCTGAACACTTGCTAAGCATCCCTGATTATGCTAAAGCCACAGAACGGTCGAATCCCTAAAGCTCCAGGTATAGATTTCATTCCATGTTGGACTAATGGTAAATACTTTCACTACTTTGCTTCCTAAAAAAATAATGTGATTAACTTTGATGGAAACAATGAATGTTCAACCCTGGAGCAATGTCCACTTTCCATTCTTTCAATGAGAATTGTTGGAAGGAAGGAAAAGAAATAGCCCAGGAGCCTTTTCAGCGTCCGTATTTTTCTCTGTTACAACATTAAAGGTTCAATGAATCTCCAATTAAGTCTCCCTGGCTGCTGTCACCAATTTGATTGATAGATGTCCTTGGCTCACCCTCCACAGGACATGCCAGTACACCAGGCCCCCACCTGCCACCATCAATTATCACTCTCTTGTCATCAGTGCCCTCACTTGTCAATTTATTTGCCACAAATCCAGTGAAGCCTTCTAATCAGGAAGAAAAAAGAAAAGCCATTCTTCTTTACTTTTAAAGGTGGAATAGGAAAAAAAAAAAAAAAAAAACTTAACAAACCACATACTGTTTAATCTTAGAGGAAAGTTTGGTTTAGCCTTTTGCAATCTCTTTCCCCACACCATTCACCAAACTGGCATAGAAACTGGGTGTCGTAGGTACTGACTTGTGCACACATATAGCCAACCAAAGCCAAGAGAAAAATGGGAGACTTTAAAAAATATATACTTACAGAAATATAGACTTTTGACTCTATGGATCCATCAAGAATTTGCCAGGGGGAAAAAATTATTCAATGTCTTTCAAAACAGATAACAAAGAAGCACAGATTAGAACTGATTAAAAAGGATAAAGCAGTTCTTTGGTTGTTGGCGAAACTAGTAAACATGACAAATTTTACTTGTCTCCTGCCCCACCTGTTAATGTTTAAACGTGAGCTGATTGTGGTCCTTGATAACTGATTACCTGTCTAGGACACTGCAATCTTCTGTCTATCGACAGGAAAATATAGTTTCCCCTGGAGTGTCAATATCCATTCCTGCCTTTGACCATGAACCACTCTGCAAACACCCCGGGAAGGCTCAGGTGCATCTGACAGGATCTTTGAGGGAGAGATTGATTCCATTTGTATGCCTGTTAGATAATGACCTTCGACCTCTGTACCCAAAGTGACAACAAAAAAATGCCATTTCGTATTCATCTCATGTCCCAGGAAATACTATCTGGTTCCCTGTAAACAGGTTAGAAGCTTTGAGTTTTCCAGTTTTTCCGGTTTGGTGGTTTTGTGTTGTTTTGCTTTCTTTTTTGCTTTTCTTTTTT